TCTTCATATTTTTAAAAAAATTAATAAGAAAAGAAGTATTTCTGTACAATTTTAGTGTCACAGAGAATGTACATAATTTATTGTCATATTCATCAAGTCTTTTTTCCCCCAATGAATATAAAATGACAAGGTATTTTGTGTAAATCATAATGTTAAATTTATGTCATTTATACTCTATATTATGCATATTGCATTCATAACGCCAGTGCACCTTTCTCTGGCAGAGACTATTTACATCATCTGTGCACATGTGTGGACAATTTTTGTTTGGGGAAAAAAAACGTTGAGTGGTACAGAAAGGGTTACATTGCTATTTTTGTAATAAACATGTGAAAAGTCCTTTAAGAATATGTACCCATATTATAGAGATCTATTTCATTATGCCAGATCTGTTTATATTTCATTAGTGGATAAATTATTTATGAAACCAGCACCAGATTTACATTTGAATTTAATTACTTTAATAGAGGATTTATATCCATCCAATCAAAATTTAAATTCTCCATGAATTTTAATTTGAAAAAAAAATCTTAAATGTAGACAAGAAACTTTGTCAAGTTTTGTGAAGTTTGTCAATTGACTGTTGGATATATATACATGTTATGACATGGCCATATGGTTTATGGCCACATTATTATTCATTTATGTAAATGACACGAAAGGTACAATGTGCAGCGAAGGGCAGCCAACGTTTCATTATCATGCGTAACTTCCCTACAGTTCACAATCATTTTATCGACCTTATTTTTATTTTAAAAATTAAAGCTAACCAACCTACTTCATGGGTTTTGGAGCTTTGTTGAAATTTTTCATATGCGGATCAAAGCTCTTCATAATTTCATATTTTCCCTATCTCTGCAAGGCATGCGAAGAAAATTATTCAGTAAGTATAGATGTTATTTTAATTTGATAAGGATTATAATAAAATGAATATTAATTTTGAGGTTTTTCAGTAGAATTACAATGTGTATATAAATAATAAATTGCAGATTTTGTAACTTAATCAATTTTAATTTAACAATAAGAAATGGGAGGTATTTACTTTTTGCATCTAATACAGATTGCAAAATATGGGAACAGTTTTAAGTTATTTTGAAAGATTTTATTTTATTAATTTGTTTATTGGGTTATTTCTAAGAATAATTTGATTTAAAAATATTCACCAAAATAATTATTTTGCAATGTAAAAATATTATATTATAAACATAATAAGAATCCACTTAATTATAATTTATAATTATATACAAACTATTTACATTTAATATTAATTATTAGTAGTGAGAATATAAAAAAAATAAATATTTGGTATTACATTCATTTTGGTATATAATGCTATTTCAAAGTTGTGTTTTTGTTTGTTTGTTTGTTTGCTTTTTTAAAGCTCATGCTTTAAAGACATGTTTTAAATGTTTAAAAAGTTTACCTTAAGCTTGGGATTTTAGAATCCTCCTTAGAAGAAAATTTAAATTGAATTATTACCTCCAAGCATTCAATCCTAAAAATGGTTAATCTTTTACTCAGTGAATATTCACTTAATTTACGAATTATGAAATATACAGCTATGAAAGATTTTGCATGAACTCTTCAGGATCTTGGCAATGCTTTAAAATCACAACATTAGAATGTCAACCCTAGAGGCTCTTTCTGATGTTGGCAAACTGATGGAATTATTTGACAACAGAAATCATTGGGATTCCTATAATAAATAAAGTCATTTTAAATTAGTAGACTGAAGCAGTGTGATAAATTCTGTGTGAAGAGATAGATCTTAGATATGTTGTGCTTGAGCTTTACAAAGATTGAACCTCCCAAGAAAAAGCAAACTTGACAAATAAAAAAAAAAAAATCTGATAATAGAGCTTTAATATAATTCAACAAGAAATTAATTTGATCTGCACTCAAAATTATTTTTTGTTCAAGTAAAACACACTTAACAATAAAAAAAGGTAAAAGAATATTTACAGAGGAAATAAGAGAAAATACCTTTATTTCAGACTAACTCTACTGTAGATTCCTATATATACATGAGGAATTCAATATTATTAGGTATTTCACAAAAAGCACCATTTGCAAAATAAAATTACTCACTATACCCTTTTTATGCTGAAATAATTAAAAAACTCATGATCAACAGTTCAATCATTTTGGCAATGGAATATTTTAAGTACATGTACTCATGTACAGTACTAGGCTAGCAATAAGCAATATTTCTTTTTCTCATCATTTTATTATTTCATGTATCCTATATTTTTGAAGTCAAGTATTATGAAAATGCCATTAATGGATGCAAATAACACGCATTTAGCTCTTTTTAGCTCTTCTAACTTTTTTGAGCAAGAATTCTTGAGTTCAAAGTGTTTCAGACTTAGTGATTACTACAGTTATGATCCATATATATATAGTGGATTGTTTGATAGAGGATTCTCAAAATTGCTCATACAAAGACAATTATACAAACCATTAGCTGATTTGAACTGGCTAACAAATTTGTCACATCATATATATTTTTATCTGTTAGGTTCTACATGTGTAGGGAGCTGACCTTATTTCCTGAGGGAGTGTCCTACTTTGAAACATTTTTAGAATCAACACTGGTATGTGGAAACTATATCAGCAGCTATTACAAATCTTGAAATTTTAATGTCTCCACACCCATAAATGACCAAATATATATGATTATGGATGCTTATTGCCAAATATAATCAAAGATGAAAATTCAAATTATGAAAAAAAGGTATAAAAAATTGGGGAAAATTAATACTTATAAAAAAATAAAGAGTTACAGCCCTTTATAACAGTTCATTTTGTTTATATGAAGGGGTGCATGTTGATTAACTGCAGAGTTTAGTAAGGTTCCTGTTTTTATTGCTTGGTCATTACATCAAGTTGAAAAGGAAAAAATTCGATCTTTGTTTTTTTTTTTAACCTTAACAATATGCAAAACATGTTAAATAAATAAAGTGAAGAATGATTTTATAAAAAAAAACTATATTATCAGTAGTTAAAGCTTTTCCAACGTATCAATGTAAATTTTATTAATTTTGCAATGTTGAGGGCTTACACCTTATATATACAAATTCTTACTATTAATGATATAAATATCGGGAACATTTCTGTGACCTTTTTTGATACATGTTTGAGAAAAGATTAGAAAACATAAACTTATCTTGTAATTATAAGATCATTGCAAATTATTTTTTTGATAGATGTAAAAAGATTTCTAATAATGCTTCATTTGCAAGCACATGTATGTCTATTAAGAACAAAGGTTGCTGGTAATAAAATAAATTATGGACTATTTAGAAGGGAGACATCACAAATTATCAGGACTGAGTAGGGTTGTCACCTCAGGGCGCTTGCGCCAGAGGGTGACAACTTTACTCAGACTTGATAATTTGTGATGCCTCCCTGCTAAACAGTCAATAATAGTTTTATCATCCTGAAGAACCTAAATTTAATAAAATAGAGTAGAAAATAGTCAATTTAACCTCGTGTTCTCCTACACACTGCTCTGATTCCATACTTTCAAATTATGTCAACAGACAACTTTGACATCACTGTTAGAATTAAGTATTGTTTACCGATCTCACATGTATTTCAATTATATAGATGAGTTTTCTCTCATAAGACATTTTATTTTCATCTAAAGGGAAACTACACAGTTGTCACTTGTGCTATTTTATTGTCTTCTGAAGGGGACAACCTGTCACAACGCTGCACACAAGGGAAGGGAGACATTACGAAATGCCTCCCTGCACGTGACATTCTCTAAACTTATTGACTGTATTATTCTGAAGGATAATAATACAAGATATCTAGTAGGTGATGCTGGTGGAAAAAATAAATCAACTTTCTACTCAGACTCTTCAAGAAAATATGATACAAATATATATGGATGCAAATAAATGTGTCCACTAGCTGTTGTGCAACATTTGACACTGATGTACATCTCACAGCAAAAAAAAAAAAAAAAGGCAGGACTCTCACAAAAATTTTTGAGGGTTTGAGATACTGAGATTGAGGTATATAGTCATTGTAAGGTTAGAATTGTTGAGTTTCTTTGATGTTTTCTTTAGTATTCAACATATTGGTGTTCAAATTACCAACGTTAGACAGTCAATCTTTGTTTATAGTTGTACAAAATGCATTAAAACATATATATATATATATATATATATATATATCCAAAAAATGAAAAGAAATATCACAGTGTCCGGTAATTAATATGAAAATTAAAAATAACAAGGCAACAATATTAGTAAAATGTAAGCGCTTTCATTATACTTCTTCAGACGTTTTACAATTCAAAACAATTCAAACATGTGACGTTATAACGCTACCTGCATATATATATATATATTATAATACTTTAAGCAAGAAATTACATTTTTAATTTTTTATGGTATATACATGTACTTTGCATGAGAACATGTAATGTACGTGCAATAATAACATTGAAAAGTACTGAAACTGTAAGTATTTTTACGTGGGAATCATCATTTATAAATTCAGATTCACTAATCAATATTCAAATTATGAAACAATTTTTCGCGCATAGTTTTGATACAGTACTCATATATAATCTTACACAAGAATATTTTTTCTCACGTTTTCACGTTTGCAAATCAGAACCTGTATGCATAATTTAGCATTATCATCCATTTTAATGATTCGCACAAAACGTATCTTGACGTTTAAAGACGCAGTGATGAATAATTGGTCATTATATATGGTCATTGCTTATGCATTATAATCGCGCAAGTCATGCCGCAACAATTCGTTCCTTGTTACGAAGTGATTTTAAGAAAAAAAAATTTCTCGGAATTTTGCTGCAGGCCTTTTATGCTAACGGAAACATCTCGATCTTTTATGTTTAATCTGTTTGAATAATTATATTATTGGTTGCGTTCTGTATAAATCACCGAGACACAATTGATGCCCTTTGACACACCTGTTCATTTACCTTTTTCTCTTATTATCGTTTGCAGCACAAAAAATCGTAGTCTTATTATAGGTCTTGCGGTTTGGCCTTTCATTATCAAACAGAAATGAGCAAGTTGGACAGCAAGTTTATAATGAAGGAATGGTAACTACTTGATGGAGATTTTATATTTAGATGTGGTTGTCAGCTCTGTCTATGGCCAATGAATTTGTTGACTGGGTCCAGTTGGAGCCATGCTGTGCAATGCGCCATGCCACTATATATGTGTGCATGCTCTCTTTATGATGGGAAGACCAGACACAAAGGTTTATTCTGGTCATAATTGACCATATTCAGTGTGTTGTTTGTATAACGAAAACAAATTTGCCCAAATTCTAATACATATGTAAAAGATAATATTCTGTTGACTTGCTTTGTGCTTCAAAAAGACTAAACTGCAGGTCTGATATTTAAAGGGATGTGTAATATCAAACTAAATTTCCTACATGATTAACAAGAACTCTGCTTATGAGCATACAAAATGTACAAATCCATAAGTTATTTTGAAGAGTACCTACCCCATTCTTCCCCCCTCCCACCCCTTTAAATTTGTGAGTTGCTCTATTATTGTGTATTGGATACAAACAAAAAAAATTTATCAGAAACAGAGTTACCGGTATGTTATTTGCTGATATATTTAAAATATATATTTTGAAAATACATTTAAAGTAACGAAGATTGTTGTTTTGTTTTCTATTTGCATAGATACATTACAGGCTTAGGTGTAATCTTGTTTTTCACCTTAATTTGGAAAGTATAATACACAGTCTGAGTGTTGTGTCACTATATTGTTAGGATGAATTGTTTATTAAGCTTAATATATTTATCAAAATCTTTGAATTATCGTTAGTCATCTTGAATATTTTTTCCATATTACTTCAGGTATAAAGATGAACAGTGAAGCTAACTCCGAGACAGTAACTGTATCAAATAATGGACAGACAGACACTAAGCCAGTCAATACCTTGGTAATTATAAAACAAGTATTTTATATCATTATGATAGATATATGAAATTTACAACATTTTAAAATTCAATTAAAAAGGTCTTTAGACAAGTTCGTAATTGCTTGAAAAACTTGCATCAACAAAAGCTTCAGAAAATTTGAATTCATTGCATGCCGAGGCAATTTGCAAATTATAATGTCTTGAAGATACATGAAGTATTGACATTTTCAGACAAATGTTGGTGCAACATTGCAGCAGCAACTTCAATCGGCATTGCTGGCCCAGCAGTTTCCACTGGCAACAGCCGGGGCACATTCTGGTTTACTGATTCAAAACCCTTATGGACAACCAGCTGTGGTAAGCTTTCTTTATACAGACATCTAACTTGTTATAATAGACTTTATTGATATGCATTCAGAAACTTGTTGAGCTAATACTGAAAAAAAAAAGTTATTGCATGTCCTCAGTAATTAATGTGTGCACTTATCAGAAGAGCATATTAAGTAACAGTCATAAGTGTTTTAAACATCCTCCATATCTTTTTTGTGACCGGCTTCGGGTGATCACAGTTGATTCCATATGAAGCATCTGGCAGATTTAATATCTGCACATACATTACTCCCTGCACTACTTTGTTTACTATGCACTGACAGCTTCATGTAAATCTTTCATAATATGTTAAGTACCAACGAGCATTATTTTGATGCATTTACCTTTAGATGCAAACATTTATACAGTTACATGGTGAATAAACTTACATGCATAAGAATTTCATTTTGAAGTACACTTCCTTTAAGGTTGAAGTTTATTCTTGCATTGGTGTTTCAGAAAGCAACAAAAATATTTAAGTCACATCGAATTAAAAAAAGCACAACTTAATATCCTATTCTGTCTATGAATAGCATCGTGGACTTTCAGCGCATATTATCGTTTATAAAGAAGTTTCATATCTCACTTATTTCAGTTTAGATGTATTACTGTAATGATGATTTTAAAAAGAAGTGCTTGACATATCAAATGGCCATTACATAACCTTCACATTGCCTCCATCTACCTACGATGACACCATCTCTAATTATAGAATGTATCGATTGATTTTGCACATGGCTCTTCATTTGTTTGGAGTTTAGCGGGAAACATTCATTCAGCAAATTATGTACAAGGTCGTTTAAACTATTTTCTTAGCCCTAACTTTGCAAGGGATACTATTATTCCTGAACATAAATACTAAACCTGTTAATAAGAAAATGACATTTACAAAATTGACTAGGTATGGAATGGAGCAGAATACATGCATTGGTACATTGTACTAAAGTTTTGTTTCCTTTCAACTTTATTAAGAACTCTATAAAAGTTTGATAGGTAATTTATCTTCAGAGTTATTTTTCTTTACAAATACATAACCCATTTGATTTGAATACCTTTCCTTGGTTATCAATATTTTTGAGCTCATGACCTGGAGTTTGACCTACTTTTGAAAAACTTCAACTTTGACCATAACTTTTGAAGGGTTGGTTCTAGGGGTTTCATATTTCACATATGTATTTCTTGTGCCAAGACCTGTACAACATTTTTGACTTCATGACCTTTACACTGGTCATAACTTCTGAATGGTTAAAGGAGCCTGAAGAGTTGCATTGTCTTTTTGTTTACAATTTTAAATTTCTATTTTTATTCAGAAATTAACTTCAATTTAGTGAATTGAACTTAAATACACATTCGTAAAATTCTGTCTGTGAGTGACATTCTTCATAACATAGGTCAGACATCTGTGTTTGTAAACATGGGCACAAGCTGTATTACTGATTACATTTTATCAGGTGTGTTTGAATTGTTAACTCGGCACACATCACTGAACACGAATTTACAACGCTGGTTTGTTTTTTTTCTACTCTGACTTTTCACAATTATAGTTTTTAGTATTTTTCATCAATACACAACAATTTTTCCACATTTTTTAAGTATTAAGAATAGATCATACTTCTTGAAAGTTTAAGGATGTGTATCAATCAAACACATCCTGAAATTTATAGTTTTCCGAAAAAAGAAGCTTGTAAATGCGCTTTTATAATATATCAGCCTGAAATGCTTTAGAATATGTAAGTCGTGATATTATACTGAAAATTTTAAAAAATATTAACTTCAAATCTGTGTCCAAGCCCCTTTAATGCTATGGCGACATTTGAATTTTACTTGTCATATTTTCTAAATAAAGAAAATATTCTTCATAGTGTAAAAAGTTGAGGCATTTTCTGGGAAATTCTCAAGAGGCCACTAGCATGAAAAGTAGGTTAATGACCTAGTCATTTGAAAGTGAATAATAGCTCTATAATCATAGGTATACAACTGTACAATAGATGTTTTTTTTTTCATTCCTATCAGGGAATTTTTTTCTAATTAGAGTAAATGTTATCTTTAAACTTCTCATCAATATTAAACTTCTTATTAGTAGGTCATTTATTTTAAGTTTTGCTATAAAAGTTTTTAAGTATGTCCTTAGAAATAAAAATTGATGCTCATAGTGCTATAAATCACAGGTAAGCATATATATTGAATAATGTGCTGAAGTGTGCCATGAAAATAAGCATGGTATTTTTAGCTCTGAGAAAAAGACCATTTCGTGCATATATTTTTCTTTTCACTTGCTTAATACAATAAAAGTAAGTTTTTGTAAAATCCCATTTTCTCAGGCAGTTTATCAGTGTGATATTATTTTATACTTCATTGCCTCATGCAATGCAAGTAGCTTATATGGTGTAAAAGGAAAAGAACTTTCAGATAGATTTGAGTTGCTGCAGACCTGCTTCTTTTATGGTAACTAAGAGTTGCAAAACAGTTTCATTTTGATATTGCTATTTGTAGATTCCAGTGTCTGCTGCTCTACCCACTGCTGGTATACAGATTGCAGACCTCCAGCAACTGCAGCAACTTACACAGCAACTAACACAGCAACAACAGCAACTTCAGCTGCAACAGGTATTGGAATCTAGTTGACAAAGATTAGGATTAAAGTTAAAGAAATTCTATTATGAATGAAAGGTGTAATTATACTTATTGAAAATGAAGTAGAACTATTTTGGTATTTAGGAATATCTGTTTGAAATCATGTTTATTGCCTTTCTGGATATATTTAAATGTTTTAGGAGAGATTTTAAATTTCAAATATCTTTCTGCAAATATCAAATGTATTTTGAATATCGAGCAATTTTCAACAGATTCAACAACAGGTCACCAATTCCCCAGCAGCTAGTTCTGCTGCTAGCACCACTTCTGTGGTCACTCAACAGGCCCCTATCAGCAGTGCCACCCCTCAGCCCACACAAATCCAGGCCTCACCTCTGGCTACAACCACTCTGCAGGGACTGGCTGGGGCCCTCCAGGGCACACAGCAGATTGTATTTCTGAATCCTGCACAGCTTACGACGGGTCTCCAGCCACTTCTGATTCAAAACCAGGTGAGAAGAAAGGAGATGGGTGAACAAGGCATGCAGAATGCCTATAGCTTCAGATATATAAAAATCATATTCAGTTTGTGAATTTAGTATAATTTAGATTGAAATAATTTATGAAATTATGACAAACAAAACTTTTCTGAGGAAAAATTTCTTGGCAAAAATTATTCTGTTATTAAAAAAATAATGTGGTATTCTTGGGGTTGGAACCCTAGCAATAAAAATCTTGAGTGTCATTTTCCTTTGAGACTAACACTAACACAGCTCTTGATGAATTGTGGCATTTAAATCATGTTTGTGATATGACCCTTGACTAAATGGATTTCAAGTATTTCTTGGAAAGATGTGCATGTTGTATCATAAAAGCGTATTTTTAAGATATTGTGGGTTTTTGCTCCATGTTTTTGTTGACCAAAAAATGTATTTTTTTATGCAAACTTTGAGGATAAACTTTTAAAAATATGGAGTGAAGACCCACTCATATTGAAAAATTGTGTTTTAGTATGAGAAAATGATCCGTTTTGCCCTCTCTAGTGTGTGATGGTATTTCACAGGCAAAAATTTCAATCTTATTAAGATTTTTGCAAATTGGGGAGATTTTACATAACGTATTCTTTAATTTTAGATGAAATATCAAAGAAAATTTTGTTGTAATTGAGAATTCGTTTTTTCACCTTCATGTTTGTTGCACTAAAGGCATTTCACCCACCTTGTTCACCATGGTACAGCATACATGGCTAAAGCTTAATGGGTGAAGAGCATTAAATGAATATGATACACTTTTGGTTTATCATGATCAGAAATTTTAAATGACTGAAAACATAATTTTATTGACAGGTTTAAAGTAGCAGTATAAACAAAACATTGACACTGATACTCTGTAACATGTTTAGAAAATTTCCTTATCTTTAAATTATGTTGATAGGGAATTCCCGTCCTTACTGCTGCCACATTGGCATCACTGACACAGCAAGTTCAGCAACAGCAGCAGCAACAACAGCAACAACAACAAGCCCAACAACAACCAACAGCAGCTGTTCTGCAGCAACTTCAGCAACTCCAGAATGCAACAACCCAACCACTTCAGGTAAGAGCAAGGAGAGGTAACTCTTAGCTTGAAACAACTCATCTTTTGTTGTTTAACTCTTTCAACACTGAGTAACTTTTATCAGCCAAGCCCTGGTACACTGAGTAGCTTGGGCCATCACTGAACACTTCACCTTCCATCACAAAAAAATATAATAACTTCTTTATTTCTTTGAATATTTTAATAAATAACACATTATTAGAAAGGTGAGACATTTCTCTTTTAAATGATATCAAATTTATATATATTCAAAATTATTTAGCAAGTCAAAAGCACTAATAAAAATAATAATTACGTTTTATAACTGATCTTATGTAATATTTTAATAAATTTGCTACTATGAAGTTTCAAAATCGCTTATGTTCTTTCCAACGTTCAAAAGAGAAATTATTTCTGAGTAAAATGATATGCACTATGTCAGAATTCATTGAAAAATAAGTCCATAATAATAAATAAATAAAACGTGGTGTTTCGGGACATCGGGAGAAGTCTGGGGCGTCAAAAACATCCTCTGTTTCGGAGCCTTTAAAGTCCAATTCCGAGTCAAGTTTCTCCTCCAAGATTTCTCAACATTGTTAAAAACTTGTATTTTTGTTGTCTAGAAACATCTATAATATCTAATTCCCCGATTTTATTAAAGTTTTCATGGCCAGAAAGATCGGACATTTTGTTGTTAACCGCCATTTTGCTTTCTTCTTTGTTTTCTTTAAGATTCGTCTAATTTTCCTTATTTTTCTGTGATTTTCGCCATGTGTTCCGCCATATTTGTTAACGGATGTTTATATCCATCTACCCATAATTCATAGCAAAAGTTCTTACGTAGAGAATACTTTCTATTTCTAGGAATAAATGTTTACTTTCAGTTTTGTGTCTGAGACCGATGAATCGGTCTACCGTGTTCCAAGACGAAATTTTATCAGACCGATGTATCGGTCTACAGTGTTGAAAGGGTTAATATTTTAAATTTTTTGCTTATGTACACATCTGCATATCAAGGAGTGAGGAAAAAAGATCTATGCCAGTTACAAAGTGTGAAAGTCACAAGATTGTTCAGCTCATGTGCCTTGTGATTTGTGAAAATTGAATAGAGTTCCATGCATTAAAGAGAACAAACTCTACATAGATGAATCAGAATTATTACACATCTTTTAACCAGCACACTGACATCAGACACAATGACATCCGCAGGAAATTGACATGGCTTGCCTATTATTCACTTGACCTTTCACTTGGCGAAATTTACATTCAGTTGCAAATAAAAAGAAATCAACACACTTAACTTTGAAAGAGATATCACAGAGAAAATAGTTGGAAATATAAATTTTGTTAGACTCTAGGTGTTAATGTTTTTTTAATAGTCACGAACAGCTGTTTTACTATCCTACATGTTGCTGTTCAGACTCTGTTAGCAACCAGTAAAGTAGCATAAACCACCTTAGTTCAAATTTAGGAAGGAAGTCTTTTCCTAATTTCAGTGTGCACATTAATTTATCATTGATTATGCAGTGTTTGAAATAACATTGCGCCCGACCGCCCGAGACGCCCAAATTTTGCCATGTGCAAACAGATCTGCATGTACAGTGTAAATTAAAATTCATGTATTTGATAAATCTCTCTCAAATCAACCAACAGTATCATTAGTAAAGTGTAAGAAGCAAAGGGGGTAGAATTCCTCATCTTATAGAATCAGGATTGAAATTATTATAGTGAACTGACCCCATTCACGTTATCGCTAAAACAAAGTTATAAAAGACTTTTATTTTTTCCGGCTAGTAGATTTTTGGAGGACTGACAACTTTCAATAGCAGTCAGCCCTGCATGTCTAGCTAATTTTACGGTGAGTTTCAAACACTGGATTTTGTCTTGTATTCAGATACAGGTGCCTGCTGCACAATCCACTCCAGTTCAACAAAGTGGAACTCCTGTCAAAGTTCAGAATACAATGACCAAGATATCCAATTCTTCTCAGATAGTTCTACCAGCTGTTTCTACTGCAAATGCTTCCATCAAAACTCAACCTGAAGAAATGTCTTCCTCTGTGGATGAGATACCACCAGTAAGTCTTCATTTAAGTTTAGATGTAGGCATAGACTTTTGTCTGTGGTAATAAGCTGTAAAGCTTATATAGAAGTAAAAGACAAGGAAACATATATTAAGATGTCATATTTTAATTGACTGGTGTATTTTAGTGAATTGATTCTATCACCAGTATATTATATCTATATAATCAACCTTTTTTTTTTATTTTGAAGGAAGAAAATATTGACTTAGAAGAACTTGAGCAGTTTGCAAAAACCTTTAAAAGAAGGAGAATAGAACTAGGTATATTTCTGATGAAAAAAAACCCAGATGATTTTTAAAAATTTGAAAAGTAAGAAATATTCTAGTTAAGACTTTTCATATTTTGCAGGTTTCACCCAAGGTGATGTAGGTTTAGCAATGGGAAAACTATATGGAAATGATTTCAGCCAAACAACAATTTCAAGGTTTGAAGCTTTGAATCTGAGCTTTAAAAATATGTGCAAGTTAAAACCACTTTTACAAAAGTGGTTAAAGGATGCAGACACAATGTGTGCTAATCTGAACACACCAGTTGGTGGAAGCCCGGGTGGCAATGGCAATAGTTTATCTCCAGAATCTGTGTCAAGGAGAAGGAAAAAGAGAACCAGTATAGAAACTAACATCAGAGTGGCTCTGGAAAAAAGTTTTCAGCAGAATCCCAAACCATCATCCGAGGAAATAACTTCTGTTGCAGACCAACTCAATATGGAAAAAGAGGTTGTACGAGTGTGGTTTTGTAATAGAAGACAAAAACAGAAAAGGATTAATCCTCCATCAAACTACAATCCACAGTTGTCTTCCCCTCTTTCTCCACCAATCACACCTGTTCAAGTGATGGCAACACCCACAAATCAGTTAACCACACCCACCTCTCAAGCTACCATGACACTTCCAACAATCATCAGTACTTCAACAGGTGCCACTCTTGTGGCTGGATCCACGCCCTCTTCAGTGCCAGGAACCAATCAGAACTTTATCATGGCCAAAATCACACCTGCTTCTACCTCTGGATCCAATCAGGTCATTTTGACACAAGCATTACCAACTACAGTATCTACCGCCCAGGGAATTTCTTTACAACCTACACAACAACTTATTCCCCCTCAAAAAATAGAATTCACCACCTCATAAGGATTCATATTTTGGAAGATTTATTTTTAGAATATTTGTAAAACATTCCAAAAAACTTGGAGAAGCAAAAACCAAATAGAATTGAAATATATTTTTAATGAGAAGGGATTCTTAGTTTATTTTTACTTGGTACATGATGTGAATAATTGATATATAATGCCAAAGAACCTGAAACATGGGCATGTATTTCATGTAAATACATGTATATACTTTGATTAAAATGTTTTGTCTTCCAGTTTGTGATTTTCACTTCCTTAAATAAGGGTGTGTAATCTGCTGGACCTTTTCTAAGTATCAATATTCAGTTCCTTAGTTAGACAGTGAAACGCAGTTTATACAGGTATCAATTAAATCTTTTGTAAAAACTGTCTTGACTATTAGAAATATTCATCATTGAGCTCAATATAACACTAGAGGCATAAAAATATAAAAAAAAAAAACTGATTTGTTGGTAATTGTCATCTTTTTACAACTGCCTTGTTTTGAGGTAAATGGCATATTGGTCTGAAATTTTGTTTATTCTTTAATTTGTTGATCTGATTTGAATGAAGTGTGGTACAAATGTAGAATACGTGGAATATATTTACTTTTGTTGTTTTGCATTTTCCACTTTTGCTACAATAGAAATGATATTTTAACAAAATCTATTTCTCAAACTATTTTTTTTATTTCATTTGAGTTAAGAAATAGCGAGTTGATTTCCTTTTTCATTACGTAAAATGGTAGCTGATACTATTGATTAAATAAACATATATATAATCCAGAGAGTAGGTTTATTGATTTTCCACAGTACATGTGTAGTGTCCTCAGAGTTTTGGCCAGCTCACATTTTAATATCCAATTTTGAAGGATTGATAGAGTTAAAATCCAACAGACTGAGTTTTACACTACTCTCCAACTACCTCTAATACCACTACCTTGTACCAAGAAAACTAATGAGTGAATAAGGAGAAATCCACTTAAACCAGTGGTTCTCAGCAGGAATCGCATTCACAATTCTCATACATTACAACTTTGTACTCAGCCTCCTAGATACCCAGGAGCAGAGAGGATTTACAAAGTATAAATAATCAAACAGCCCCACTCTAACACCAAAACCCTTGACCCAGTGACAATGAATTTAACACTTGGGATTTGGCACCGTTGCTCACCATAACTATACTTAGTTAATCTGCTAAAAAACCAGGAGCAGAGAAAAAGATTTTCATTAAATTATTGCATTTTCACTAAGTTATCAATAGAGCCCAGCCCTAACACCATAACCCCTGGCCCAGGGGCCGTGAAATTCCCAATTTTGGAGGAGACATCCGTGCTCATCATAGTCAAGTTCTTAGTTTGTATGCTTAATACCAAGGGACAGTGAAGAAAATTTTCAAAGAAATACTGCATTTTTATTATATAATCAATAGAGCCCTGCTCTAAGACAAAAAACCCTAATCCAGGGGCAATAAAATTCCCAAATTTGGTAAAGGCACCTATGCTCATCAAAACATTGCATTCAGTTTGTTAGCTTAATACCCAGGAGCAGAAATTCATTGTATGTTATTTTACGTCCCGTTCGATTATTTTTCACTCATGTAGAGACGTCAACATATACCGGTGAAGGGCTTCAAATTTAGACCTTTACTCGGCACTCAGGACCATTGAGCAGTGAGGGTTCTTTATCATGCAAACGCCTACCGTGACTCGGAGCCTCGGTTTTTAAGGTCGAAGGACCTGTAATTTTCACTTCAAAACGCCGAGCACTTGGCGAATGAACAATTGCTACCTATTTTTTATCGACTTTGTAGGTCAGTCGCGGCCATGATTCGAACTCTTGGCCTTCCGATCACGGAGCGTGCGCTCTACCCAGGAGCAGAGAAGATTTTCAAAGAAATAATGCATTTTCAACATACAATCAATAAAGCTCCGTCCTAACACCAGAATCCCTGACCCAGGGCCATGGAATTCAGAATTTCGGAAGAGGCACTCTTGCTCATCAAAACATTGCGCTTAGTTTGTTTACTTAATATTCGGGAGCAGATACGAAAATGTTCAAAGAAATCATGCATTTTCACTGTCTATGTAATAAATACAGCGCCGCCCTAACACCAGAGCCCCTGACCTAGGGGCCGTGAAATTCAATTCACAATTTTTGGACGAGGCATCAATGTTCATCATAACCATGCACTTAGTCTTTCTGCTTAAAGGCAGAGATATTTTACCGGGTGGTAAATTCCAGGTGAGTGAGGGGCTTATTTTGTACAGGTGTGAATGCTTTGAGGGCTAGCAGTCTACCTGTGGTCATTTGTCTCCCAATCCCTATACACAGGAAGTGATTTAATACACAGTAGAGTACCCAAGAAGTCAAACTTGACCTGTGTTGAGATTTTGAGATAATTTTAAATTAGAAATAAAAGGTTGCTAATGAAGTTTAATCTCAATATTTTTTTTTAATTTGTAATTTAATGTGTGTCAAAGCATCCCCACCCATTAAAAATATTATTATTCAAAGTATTTGTTGTGCTTTGAAAAAAAAAGTTATACCCGTTTATTAAAAAGTTATATTATCATAAAGAATATTATAATTATTTAAAATACTAAAGGTGTGTATGTATATGTATTATCAAGCTAAAATTCCATAGTAATACAGCTTCTCTATTGTTTATACCATGTGTGGTAAATATCAAAGGATCAAAAGTTAATTTGAGGGTTACCACAAGTGCCAAACAAGGTGAGCAGGGTATACACAGGGACTAGTAAGTAAATGTCAATCAAGTTCTAGCACCCAATGATGTACCTTAATGCAATCGATTGACAGGGGTACACAGACCAGGTATTTTTGAAGGTGGTGCTTAAAATCTCTGCCTTTAATACTCAGGAGAGAGGAGATTTTCAAAGATATAATGCATTTTCACTATATGATCAATAGAGCCCCACCCTAACTCCAGAACCCCTGACCCATGAATTTCACAACTTTTGTAGAGGGCTCACACAGGCGCTTGACGTTTTTAACCTTTCTTTCCATAAATAAAAAATCCCAGAAAAGGGAGGCCAGAAGTTGATGTTGTTATGTAAATGAGAATTCCCTCTACTTAAATTTCATTGGTTAAAAGAAATATGACGTTTCGCGGGAAAAATCATGCAAAGACAGTAACAAACTTTTTCGACATGTTCAATGCTGAGCAGGCCGATGCTTTCCATAATCATAAGAAATAATATATGAAATATTTTTTTTCTTTTATTTTGTTGAAGAAAAAATCATGAGGAAATAAAAATTATGCTTGGTCCTGGAATTCTGGTTACTAATTTCTCCTGTAAACCACTGAGACCCCTTGCATTCTGGCATAAATATTGCTTCCCTATAATGGTACTATTTTCAGTGTTTGGAAGCGATGAAAATTATTAAAAAAAAAAGAAGAGGGATAGATATGTGTGTTTTTTTTCATCACAGTGGTGAGCTGGCCCAGATCACTGAACCTTCATGTCCCCTCTTTATACAGGTGCGAAGCTGTCTTTGAAAGTACGCAAGTACGTTACTACACACCGTTTAAAAAAAAAAATCTAGGTCTGAGAGAGAGAGAGAGAGAGAGAGAGAGAGAGAGAGAGAGAGAGAGAGAGATTGTTGAGAGAGAAAAAAATATTAGCATCATCCAGCAAATATTTTTGTTTCAAATTATTAATTGTCATTATTTCGAATCAAATTTTATATTATTACGTCTATTTGAAATCTTTTATTGAATCATTGCCAAATCCAAATAAATCATTAATCTATTATATAGTAAGTGTTCTATAACACATTAATAATTCTATAAGACTTTTGAGAAATTAAGTTTAATTATCGTCAAATGGCTTGATCAAATAGTATACTGGCGGATTTAGAGGGGAGCCCCTACCCTGACCCCAAACTGGTCGCCCCCCCCCCTTTCAAGATTCCTGGATCCGCCACTGTAGTATATGATTTTAAAATTATTTTTGCTACCAATATTTAAAATACTTGTTGCTGAACATTATTAATACATATTATAACAGAGAGCAGACGATACAAATGTAGCGGTAAAAGATTCTGCATGCCTCAAGTACATTTACAATAAGTTTCCGAGAAAGTTAAACTTCGTGTTAAAAACAATATTACTGTCTTGTCTTTCATAAGAAAAACCAAATACCATGCTATTCCCTGCAAGAATGTGATTGAAATATTTGTACAAGCCAGGAGCTCCCCCCCCCCCCCCCCCCCCCGCTCAATCAAGGCTTCGCCTAAGACTTACGGGTGGCCTCACAGATTATATTGCCATTCATTTATTTTTAAGGGAGGATCAATTGATTTCGGAGGGGGGGGGGCTGGGCTGGCAATTTTTTCCCAGCTTTATTTCCATGTCAGTGAAGGACAATTAAAGGAGTTGGGCGAATATAGCGTGCAGAAAGCCTATAGCTTCAGATATATAAAAATCATGTTCAATTTATGAATTCAGTATTTAGAATAAAGTTCTCATAATTGAAATTTATGAAATTATGATAAACAAAACTTTTCTGAGGAAAATTTTCTCGGAAAAATTTATTCTTTTATTAAAAAAATAATGTGGTAATACATATGTGGGGTTCGAACCCTAGCAATAAAAATCCTGAGTATCATTTTCTTTCGAGACTAGCACGCTTACCACTAGACTACGCAAGACCTGATGATTAGTGGCATTTAAATCATGTTTGTGATATGACCCTTGACTTAATGGACTTCAAGTATTTCTCGAAAAGATGCGAATGATATATCATAAAAGTATATTTTTAAGGTATAGTGGGTCTTTGCTCCATATTTTAGGAAACCAAAAAATGTATATTTTTATGCAAACTTCGAGGATTAACTTTCGAAAAAATGGAGCGAAGACCCACTCATATCGAAAAATAGTGTTATAGTATGAGAAAATGACTCTTCAATTTCAATTTTTGGGAGAATTTTGCAAATTGTAGAGATTTTACATAACATCAACTTCCGGCCTCCCTTTTCTAAGTTTTACGGAATCGGTAGCAGTAGACTGAGTTTGAAGCAACATTTTAAGAATTAGAGAGGATTTAATGTGATTTGAGTTGAATTGCCCGAAAGTGGAGGCATATTTAAAGTAAGTACTTGAGGGAAACGGTTGTATCCTTTAATTTTAAACACATTGTAGACTAAAAATTGAGGCGAAGTAGCTGAACTGAAAAATTTAAGATGGCGACCATGACGAACCTTGTTATTATTATAGTATGGGGTTTTTTTTA